AGAGAGAGAGAGAGAGAGAGAGAGAGAGAGAGAGAGAGAGAGAGAGAGAGAGAGAGAGAGAAGCCATAGCCGTTATCTGGTTGAGACCCATTGCGTGTGTGTGTGCCGCAGAGCCGCTGGAGACTAACATTCTTGTACATTGATAATAATATCGGAGACAACATCTTCAAGTGTTGATTGTATCTCCATTTGGCTTCTCAAGTGTGAACTCTCATGTGAATGATCATTGATGTATTCGAAGTTGAACTTGACGAGTACTTGGCTCATTCCACTAGAGGACCATTTAGATGTCAGCAACAGAACCATGTCATAGATGCATATCATATGCTGGATATCATGTGCAGAAAATAGCTCACCTTTGCACCAAATTGCTACACAAAAATACCACTCGTTTAGCGTCAAAGAAGGAATCCAAGATTTCTGATGCCTCCGAGGCCATCCTGCCTTTCACTGTAGAAATGGACTGGCTCAAGTCTCCAACCACCCGTCCCACTTTTGCCTGACGGTACGCAGTACAACCAAGGACGCTTTTGATAAAAATCATGCATTGGATGAGGAAGGGTTCAAACATTGAAGTCCCACCAGAGTCAATCTCTGTTACTTGGTGGAACGAGTATTCCAGAAGAGCAGGAAGCACGCCCTTCTTGCTGAAGGAATAAGGATGGGTGGACTGCACGTCGTTGATTATCTTGATCAGCTTCATGCATGCTCTCTCAACAAATACAACAGGTGCAAGCTGCTGCTGTTGTTGAAAGGCTTGCCCTATTCCACGACAAGCCACCAAGTGAAGGGAGCACAACAGATCAGGATCCCCAAAAAACAGCTGCACAATCAACTGCGTCATGGATTCCAAGCGACGCACGGGAACATACACACATCACATTCACTTCTGGTTAGTAAGCACCAACCATGTAAACATACTAGACAGACACAACGTATGGCACCATCTATGCACACAGATACATGCAACTTGTATACAACTGCTGGTTGATCTATCAAGGGCTTGACATGAAGATTGCTTTCCCAGTGCCAACCCCATCAACAGTTAACCTTCACCAGATTGCCCAGTTGGGCTCTCTGGAGATCATGGGTTGAACCTGTAGAACCTGTGATTAGGGAGTTGTGTCCAAAGGCCACCATCCAGATGGATGCCTGGCTTGACATAAAGATCGCTCTCCCAGTGCCAACCCATCAACAGTTGAACAGATTGCCCAGTTGGGCTCCATGTTACATGATCGGTTGAGCTGCTGGAACTTGTCATCAGGGAGTGCTGTCCAAAGGCCACCATCCAGATGGGCCTAGCACATAAAAGGAACGAGAAACACTGATAGGTGGCAAAGCTTATATAGCTGAAATGTGGACATACACAGCATGGGCTCAATTGATGCAATCAGTTGAAACCATGATTAACCAACCAGAAGCCCGGAACCGGATGTGGATCAACTGGATCCCGATGTTTGGGTCCGGTGTCGAGTCTGGAACGTTCATATTATTTTGAAAAAAGACAGCGTCCAGGACAATCTTTTGGGTCCCAGGCAGTTCCCCAAAAATGTTCATGCGATTTTCGGGGCCCAGTAGGCCCTTCGAGACCTTGCCTGACATTACCGATACAAATTAAAAAGTAATCACATGCAGTGTCTCAGACATCCTTGATGGAAAAACTAACAAGGAGGGGAGCTCCAGACGGGAAGGATTTCGTAAATCATGATGCATGGGGTGGTGAGACTGGTACAAAAGTTGATTATCAGAAGCTTTGACCATTGAAAACAAGTGAGGTGGTAAGGTGAAAGGCATTTGCACGATGCAGACCCCAAATTCGAGTCTCAGGGTCAAAATTCCCAGGCCGAAAAAGGCCAGGTCGGCCAGTTTCAGAAAGGTTACGTCGGGTACCCCAGAGGTCAAGTCCAACAGGTACCCGGTCAAACGTCACATCCAAGAGACAAAAGTCACATCCCATAGGCAGAAGTCAAGTCCCACAGTCAAAGGTCGTGTCTAACAGGCAAAAGTCACATCCCACAGCCAAAGATCATATCCCACAGGGAAGGGTCACGACTCACAGTCAAGGGTCACGTTCAACAGACTCGAAAGCAGCAGCACACCAAGGAAAACCCAGGAAGGTACTGGGCCTCAACATTCTGAAGCAAACAGGCTGCGATCAGCTGGTACCGGGTCCAAGTCAACCCAAGAGAAGCAGAGGCTGGGACGAGTCAAGGCTCAGTCCAAAACAATATAAGGACTGGGCCACATTTCGAACAGATTGCTCATTCGAAATAAGTGTGGAAGTGCTGCTGAGCGATTGTGCGCTATCTGCAAGTAGCTAGTGCTGGAGCCCTGGCTGGGCAGCACTGCACTTAGGAAGGGAGGAGGCCATAGCCGCACAGCTAGTAGTAGGAGGCCGAGCTGAGTAGTGGCAGATATATCCAGAGTGGAGATCCTCATGGAGAGAGAGAGAGAGAGAGAGAGAGAGAGAGAGAGAGAGAGAGAGAGAGAGAGAGAGAGAGAGAGAGAGAGAGAGAGAGAGAGAG